CGTCCATTGCTGTGGGAGGGTGGACACGGGCCAGCCCAGCCACCGGCACGTTCTGCCTGCAGGCACATTCCCAGGCTCAGGCAGAGCTGTCCCCCAGGATGCACATGCCACTTGTACTCTTTGAGGGAAGACCCTGGGTGGACACCACTGCCTGCACAGTGCAGCAGATACAGTCCAGAGCTGCCTGGGCAGGTGTTGGTGCTGCTGGAGTCCTGCTAGCCAGGACAACAGCTTCCAGAGCTGCTTGCTCCTTCTTGCCACTGCCAATTCTGCCCTGGTCAGAGTGCCAGGAGCATTACCTGGCCCAAAGCTGAGCCATGGTGTGGTATTTGAGGCTGAAAGCCCAGATAGCCCTGTGGTGAGGTGAGCCCAGGAGCAGTGCCCACTGTGCCCAGCTTGTGCTAGGAGCACGAGTGGGGCTGTCTGGCATGACTGTCTGGTGGGGCTGTCATCTCCTGAGGGTCTCTGGTGGGGCTATCTCAGGAGGGTCTCCAGCAGATCTATTCGGGGAGGGTCTACAGTGGGGCTACCCAGAGGGGCTCTCCAGCCATGCACTGGACACGTTGTCACCAGCTGTCACTCCCCACAGCTCTGGGGGTCCCCAGACCCATAGAGGTGCTTGCTAGAGCCCTTGTCCCAAAGGTGAGGTGCCTGCCCATCCCCTGGGGAGATGGATTTGACTTTTGTAGTGCCCACTGCCCCCAGTGGAGATGGGACCATGACACTGCCTTGGCTTGGCTGGAGGTGGAGGGGGAAATGCCATATGTTAAAACCAGATGCAGGGTGCTGATTTTAGGAAGGCAGGTTGCAGGGCAAGCCATGACTGTGTGTGCTTCAGGGGGAGGACTGACCCTGCTCCCAGGGCTGCTATGGTGGAGTTCTTTGTGGAGAGGCAAGAGGAAGGGGGTTCTCTTCTCTGTGCCCTGCTGGGGTCAGCTTCCTTGGGGAGATGTTGCCCAGGGACCCCTGAGGTTTGGACTGTTGCCCCAACCTTTTTGACATGCCCACACACCCCTGTGCCCACAGTGGTGCCAGGAGCTGACCAGGAACCCCAGGCTGGGGGTGACCCTGTCCCCAGCAGTGATGCTAGGGGTAACCTCAATCTGGGGTTGATGGCAGTGTGGGGACACGGCTGGCATCCCTGCCCACTTCCCCATGCTGCCTGTCTCTCTGGAAGGGCTCTGTCACCAGCACAACCCCAGGGAACATGAGACCTGTGTGCCCAGCTCTGCTGAAACCCGAACGGCCACCTACCTGGGCAGGCGGGCATGAAGGGGGGGGCCTTGCTGCCGTCCCCCTGGCACACACCGGCAGCAGCAGGATACCTGGCTGCCAGCACGCAGGCCGGCAGCTGCGGCAGGCTTGGCGCTAAAGCCGGATTACCACCCGGAATAGTCCCACGGTCCCAGCTGGGCCGGATTAGTGAGGATTCATCTGCAGAGGGAGCAGAGATGGGGAGGGGGTCTCTGCCCTGTGCGGGTCCCTGGACTGGGGGAGCACTCACCTGCTGCCAGGGAGACCTGACACCTTCATCCCCACGGGTGGGAGCAGTGGGTGCTCACAGATGGGTGTCACAGGCTGTGGGGACATGGTGGGTCATGGCCTCACAGGCTGGCACCACGTGGGGCAAGAAGGGCTGGCAG